AGTGGCAAAGCATGTCATTTGTGGAGTTAAGAGATTCTAAGAGGAAATTTAATAAATATTGGCATTAAAACACTGCTAAAATGACTTAATATTGATATGAAATGGACCAGAGTTATCCGAGTTTGCTTTATTCCTAGGTGCTGTGCCTTCCCATAAAATTCTCATAATACTCTTAATTCTCTCCTTTCTAAAACCCTGAACTAGAACAGGACATTTTCTCAATTATTTTAGTAAAATGTAACATCCTTGACTTTTTCCTTACCTCTAATACTTCCCTACCCAACTCATCCTCTCTTTTTAGCTGTGTTATTTTGAAACAGATAGGAATGTGTGATTCAGCAGCTCCTGAGTTTACACAGGGCTTCACCTCTTATACAGCAACTAATGACCCTCTATGCTTTCTTGTTCTCAAAATACTTTTCCAAGTTTATTTCTCAACTCTCTCATAAATGTCCTATACTCCTAATTTCTTGCCCTTTCCCAAATCCACTCTTTGAGCTTAATTTCCTTTACCTGAATACCCTTCTTCCAGTTCCAAGCAAATGCAATTCTATTGTGTTCCTCCAAAATGTATCAAATGTCTACTCCTCAGCCTCGTTTATCCCTTTCTTCCCTTCCTACTGTTGGTGACACACATTGTTGCTCTTATTGTAATGTATTATATGCTGCATTATTCACAGACATGTTTGTTTGCTTTTGCATTGTTCTTACACACATGTATATTACATACATGTATGTATATTTCAAGAGGCATTTATGTCATTAAACAGATACATGAAATTTGTTTATTCTTACCACTCATTAGTATTTGTCATTTTAAAATCTTAAATTTCAGCGTCTCAGGCTCACTGCTGTCTCTGCCACCATCTAGAGACTGCGGAGTCCCAGTTCGTGTGCCACCACTCACTCTGGACACAGAGCATCCAGTCATGGATTAAAAATGAGCTGGTTCAGAAGGTCAAACTGGCTGAGCAGGCTGAGTGATACAATGACATGGCAGCCTGTATGAAGTCCATAACTGAGCAAGAACCTGAATTATCCAATGAGGAGAGGAGTCTGCTCTCGTTTGTCTATAAAAATGTGGTAGGAGCCTGTAGGTCATCTTGGAGGAGCGTCTCAAGTATTGAGCAAAAGACAGAAGGTGCTGAAAAAAAACAGCAGATGGTTCTAGAATAGAAAGAGAAGATTGAGACCGAGCAGAGAGATAATCTGCAATGATAAGCTGTCCTTTTTGGAAAAGTTCTTGATCCCCAATGCTTCCCAAGCAGAGAGCAAAGTCTTCTACTTGAAAATGAAAGGAGACTACTACTGTTACTCGGCCGAGGTTGCTGCTGGTGACAAGAAAGACTGTGGATCAGTCACCACAAGCATACCACGAAGCTTTTGAAATCAGCAAAAAAGAAATGCAACCAAAACATCCTATCAGATTGGGTCTGGCCCTTAACTTCTCTGTGTGCTATTATGAGATATGGAACTCAGAGAAAGTCTGCTGTCTTGCAAAGACAGTTTCTGATGAAGCCACTGCTGAACTTGATACATTAAAGTGAAAAGTCATACAAAGACAGCACACTAATAATGCAGTTACTGAGGGACAACTTGACATTGCGGACATTGGATACCCAAGGAGATGAAGCTGAAGCGGGAAAAGGAGGGGAGAATTAACCTGCCTTCCAACTTTTGTCTGCCTCATTCAAAAATTTACACAGTAGACCATTTATCATTAATGCTGTTCCATAAATCGTTTCTTGTTTACGATTTATGATAGGTTTATGTCACTTTTATTTGAATTTCTATATTTCCCATATGGTTTTTATGTTTAATATTAGGGGAGCAGAGCCAGCTAATATTCAGCAACTTATTTGTTTTCATCTTCAGGTGGCCGATATGGGGATGTGAAATTTTTATGCAGGCTATAAATGTTCAGAATAGTACTTCTGGTACATTGTGGCTTCACAAAGTCTAGTGTTAAAACTGCTTCCATGTCTTAGTAAAGAAAACTGCCTACATATTGGTTTGTCCTGGTGAAGAATAAAAGAAATAATTAGTTCCAGTCACAGGTGTAGTAGTTGTGGTTACCTGAAGGTTTGGAGCACTTACACGGCTGTGGTAGAAATGGATGTCTTGTGGATACCACATACTGAACCAAATCTATCTGTGGAATACTCAGTCTCCACGTGCACACCTTTGATGACAGCTGCAGGAGTGATCAATTAGACAAAAGTTGTGACTCAGTTTACTCTGGATGAAGGTAGAAACGGTTCATATTCCATTATTTATAGAGTTATCTGCTGTTTGCTCTCATTATTTTTGCTACACTCATTTTATTTATATTTAAATGTTTTAGGCAACCTAAGAATAATTGTAAAAGTAAAGATGCAGTAAAAATGAACTGCTGGCTGGGCGCAGTGACTCACGCCTATAATCCCAGCATTTATATAATCCCGAGGATTGCCTGAGCTCACGGGTTTGAGACCAGCCTGGGCAACTGGACAACTCATCTCTATAATAAATTTAAAAATTAGCTGGGCATGGTGGCATGCACTTGTAGTTCCAGTTACTTGGAAGGCTGAGGCAGAAGAAACACCTGAGTCCAACAGGAGCCTTGAGAGTGTTACTGCACTCCAGCCTGGGCAACAGAGATTCCAACTCAAAAAATAAATAAATAAAAATGAACTGCTTGATATCCATTACTTCATGTGTTAACAAGCACAACAGTAAAACAAAAAACCTATGTATTTAACGCTTTTTAGGTTTTTTGCTTTGGTGATTTTTTTTTGATACTTGCCTAACATGCATATGCTGTAAAAATAGTTAACAGAGAAATAACTTGAGATGATGGCTAGCTTTAATGTCTTATTAAATTTTCATGAACAATGCAAGCATAATTGTTAAAAACATGTGAATTAAAGTTCATGTAAGTGTAATAAAAGTTTTATGAATGAGAAAAAAACACCTTAAATTTTAAAAATGCTAACTTTGTATCCCATAAAATCTGATCCTCACTCTAGTTCACAAGAGAGAAGCTGCTAGGTACTATGTGGAAAAAGAGGGATTAACATTGTCTCTTTTGGCAAATACTGGGTTAAACAGATTTCTTTCTTGTAAGACTTGTTAGAAACTTTACTATCTAACTTACATGATCAATCTCCAGTTTTTCATTCACTTTTGTGCTGAGCATACCAAAAGACTAATACTCAGGAGAACACACTGAGGAAATGCAGGTCAAATTCTTTATTTAAAATAGTGAATATAAATAAAGTGGTTTATCCTTGTTCCCTTTAGTTAGCCAACTTTGCTTTATTCCTAGGTGCTTTTGCTACTGCATAAAATAAAATTAAGTTCTACTACAAAACAGTAAAGCCGAAAAGTTGCAAAGACTTGAATATGTGACAATGCTTCCCTTTTGTATTCATTAGAATGACTTAAAGGGCTTGTTAAAAACAGATTGCTGGTTCAGTAGATTCTGATTTAGTAGATCTGAAGTGAAGCCAAGAATTTGCATTTCTAACAACTTCCCAAGAAAGGCTGAGGCTGAGGCTGCTGATACAGGCACCTCACTTTAATATAGGGGTTTATTCTCTTGACTTAATACCTGGAGGCTATTACAGAGACTACAGAACAGTTAGGGAGACCAACTCCTTCTAACTTACTGTTCCATCATTCTAGTTCATAGCTTGCATCCTCCAAATTGCCTTATGATCTAAGGGAGCTGTTCAATTCTAGCCATCATAGTGGCTTTGGGTAGGAGAAAAAAGAAGGCAAAAGGGAAGCCCTCCTAGTTATGTCACCTCCTTTTAAGGACATTTATTTGCAAAAACTTAGTCAAAAGGCCTCAACCAACAGAATAAAAGTGTAAAGACAGTCTTTCTGAGAACATGGCCACCACAAATAAGACAAGATCTATATAAGTAACTAAGGAAGAAAGGAAGACTGGACATTGAATATGCAACAAGAAACTGCCAGACTAGTCTATATACATTTCAATCACAAAATCCTACTGATTTTGCTTCCTAATTATTTCATACATTTTTCCTATAAGTTACATCTCTATTTCTACTTCTCTAGATCTTGTTTTCATCATTTCTGCCCACCTTTATTATAATGGCTAATTAGAGTCTCCCCATCTCCTATTCTGCTGGTACATAGAAGATGGATTTCGAGGACACTAAAGCTGCTTATAACTCTTTAATGACTCCACATTTCCTATAAGATAATTAAGTATAAGCATTTAATATTTCATACAAAGGCTTCATCTACCTATTTCCTGCTCTATATTTTATACTACTAATCACAATAAATTGCTTCTCCCTTCAAGACTCTCACCATGTTCTTTCTGCTATTAAGATACTCTTGCACTACACTCGTAGCTATTCAGGAGGCTGAGGCAGGAAAACCACTCCTGTAGCCCAGGAGTTTGAAGCTACAGTGAGCCATGATCACATCACTGCACTATACAGACTGGGTGACAAAACAAAACTGTCTCTAAAAAAAATTTTTTTTTTCATTTTTTTAAAAGATACTCTTGCCCATCTCTTCACCTCTTCTACTCATCCCTAAAGATTTAACTAACATGCCACCTCCTCCAGAAAGTCTTCCCTAACAAGCCTCCTCCACAAGAAGAGTACCTTTCCTGTGTAATCTCATCAAGTTCAGTGCTATCACTGAATATTCCATATTATGTTAGTTTCTGCTTATATCTCTGAATTTCTCAATAGACTGTAGGCAAGTGTAAGGACCATGTGTTAACTATCTTTACAGTCTTAGAACTGGATACAAAGCAGACAGCAATTATCATTTACTGAACACATGCATCAGCCTTCATCATCAGCAAACCAACATACTGAAAATCTGCATAGAACTTGTAAAGCAATCTGACAACCTTTCCTATTAAAAGTATCACATTCTAGTTACTAAATTTCAAAAGGTAATTACAATCAGAAAATCTTTCCTTAATAACTCCAAATTAAACAAAATTTCAAAGAATACAAATTGTGTGCAAACCAAACATGCTTTATTTCTCATAACCTGCATACCAAAGATACAACTCAACTAGTTCCAGAACATTTCCAGATTTTGTTTATTAATCAAAAATTTTTAAAAAGTAAATCTGCAACAAAAAGAGAATACTAATTTATCAAAGTTGGCTTCATCGTTTCCTGTCTTTTCCTTATATTTATCCAAGTTCTACATCTTTATTTCTTCTTCTTTTTTATATTGGGTATATTCAGTAACTTTTTCTGGGTTTGGAACTGATTTCCCCTTCAATATCAAGAAACAGTCAGCATTCAAAACTTGCTCAGCCGTCATTGAACTTCTACAATATATCAAGCTACAGAGGAGAGATTTGACATTATCATCCTGCAAGGAAAAACAAATATTACAAAACATAAACAAGATCAAAACAAACAAGCAAAAGGAAAAACCTGTAATGAGAAAGAATGTGATTCAAAAACACTTTTGGTCTATAATACATGGCTAAGATCAAGTCTTTCTATATAGATTTTAAAGGTTCTTACCAAGTTCAACTATAGTTGACCCTTGAACAACATGGGTTTGAATGGCACAGGTCCAGTAATATGTGAATTTTAACAAAAATACACTCAGGAGGAGCTTCAAGGTGGCTGAGTAGAGGCATTTGGTACTGCTTCCTCTACAGAGGAGAACCAAATTAGCAAGTAGACAAGCACACTCTGAATAGATCACCAAAGATAAAACACTGGAATTCAACAAAGAAGTGACAGAAAACATCTAAGGCAAAGAAAGAGAGGGAAGCGAGACAGTTTACTCTGTTGGGATTGGATGGGAGCCCAGAGCAATTCCCCAATGCAGAGAACCAGTAAGTGAAATCCTCAGCAGTCCACATGGCCACCGCAATCCTGGGCAAGGGAGAGCCCCTAAACTTCTGTGGGCTCTGAGATTAACACAAGAAGCTGCCTGGAGACCCTGTGACTACATTGCTCCAGAGAGGGAGCTCAAGCTGGGTCCTACAACTCTCACCTCAAGTCCTAAACAGCTATAGCACAGCGACATTTTGAGAGTCCAGCCTCCGTGAGACTGTATCCTGCACTGGGAAATAACAGTCCCTGCTTCTTCACATTCCTGGTGCCTCACTGACATCCCCTGCCCGCCGTCACCACCACTGCTGGCTACTGCCACCAGGGATGAAGCATGAGCCACTAGCAACAACTCCACCACCCCATCAGCAGGGCCACTTCCTGTTTTTAGAAGCCCTGAAGATGGACTCCCCTGCCCACAGAGCCTCTACTGTTGGCAACAGCAGTGGAGGAGGCAGGGGAGTCCATTTTCAGGGCTTCTGAAAACATGGAGCTGAAGTGCAAGCCACTGGCAGGCAGCGACCACAGCACCCCAGGAGCAAAGCTGTTGTGCATGTAAAAGCACCCTCAAGATAGGATTGCCAACCTGAAACCATTATCTGGGGTGAAAGTGTGTGCTCCCCAGCAGCCTACCTACAGTTGCTGCCACTGAAAGCAACCCACCATCCTCAACAGCAGCGTCGTGGCACAGTCACTACTATCCCTCACTCAGACATTCCAGGGGGGCCTGGAGATCACCCCACCTCTGCTACCAGATCCAGTGCAGACATACACCATGGGACCTGATGACAGGCCCACCCACCTGGTTCCAGCCCCTGTCTCCAGTGCCTGAGCATGCCATGCGGAGACCTGGGGCTCACCCCACCCCAACCACCAATGATGTCACCTAAGTACTCTTCCCTGGCACCTAAAGATAAACCCACCAAGCTTGCCACTCTCCACCACACCTGTGAGCCTAGGATCTGGCCTACCCAGCCCACTGCAGTCATCAACAACACAAACCACATGAAGACCAGAGCACTGCCCCACCACTGTTACTGTCATCACCCATACCATGCATACTACCCAGGGACATGAGGACCTGCCCACTCCCCTGCCACACTTCTGCCACAGATAGCAGCCAAAGAAGCTGCCTGAAGGCCCAAGAATTGGCCCATCTGGACCCACAGATACCAGTGTCAACATATGCCACCCTGAGGCCCAAAAACAGGCATGCTTGGCCCACTGCTACTACCAATGGTGCCCAAGAACTGGCCCATCTGGCATCCCCATCCCCACTAAAACTTCACCACCGCCTCTACTAACAATCCACCCTAGGCCATACAGGAAATCAGATACCACCGATGCTGTTATCGCCGAATAAGTTATACAGAGACTGTACTACTGCACACACTCAGAATCAAAGCCAAAATGCTCTACCTAATCAGTATAATTCAGGGAAAAGTCCACCTTTACAAACGCAAATCCAAAAACTCATAAGTAGTTATAGCAGAAACACAGATAACAGCTGAAGAACACAAGAAACATTAAAAAAAAAAACCACAAGAAATATGAAACCTCCAGAGGAACACAACTGATTCCCAATCAAAAAGAAATTATGACCAAAGGGAAAAAAACAAACAGCTCTTTTAAAAAGTGGGCAAAAGGCATGAATAGACACTTCTCAAAAGAAGATATACAGGCATCCAACAGACACATGAAAAAGTGCTCAGCCTCACTCATCATCAGAGAAATGCAAATCAAAACCACACTGAGATACCACCTAACCCCTGTAAGAATGGCCATCATTAATAAAACAAACAACAACAGATGCTGGCGAGGATGTGAAGAAAAAGGAACGCTTCTACACTGCTGCTGGAAAGATTTCTGAAAAAACTAGAAATTGACCTTCCGCATGACCCAGCAATTCCCCTATTGGGAATACACCCGGAGGAACTCAAATTATTCTACAAAGAAGATACCTGCACACGTATGTTTGTCACAGCTCTGTTCACAACAGCAAAAACATGGAACCAACCATGTGGCCCACTGAAGCTGGACTGGATTAAAAAAATGTGGTACATATACACAATGGAATATTATGCAGGCATAAAAAACGACAAATATATGGACTTTGCAACAACCTGGATGGATTTGGAGTCGATCATACTCAGTGATTTATCACAGAAACAAAGAACAGAGTTCTGTATGTTCTCACTCATAAGAGGACTTTGAACAATTATAATGCTATAAGAAAGTGACTGGCAGTAATGGGAAACTGTTGGTGGGGTAGGTGGGATTGGCAGTTGAGGGAAACTGCTAGGGGAGGGAGGGGCATACCTCATTAACAGGTGTACCCGCATGAACAATGTTTGTATACCTAACCCTGAATTGTACCCCACATCTTTATAATAAAATTTTTTTAATTATGAAATCCCAGGAAAATAACTTAAAATACTGATATTAAAGAAGCTCAGTGAGATACAACAGAATGAAGATAAAAATAGCAAAAAAATTAGGATATGAGAAATTTACAAAGAGTCAAATATTAAAACAAAAGAGTCACCCAGCTAGGTCAGTCAGTAGAGCATGAGATTCTAAATTTTAAAATGTTAAATATATCAGAAATCATAGAACCGAAGAACTCACTGAATTAACTAAGAAATGACTAGACCAAGCAGAAGAATTCAACAATGACTAGTCCAAGCAGAAGAATTTCAGAACTTAAAAACAGGACTTTTTAAATATCCCAGTAAGAAAATAAAATTAAGAAAAAGGAATAAAAAATAATGAACAAATTATATGTGACATATGGGACACCATAAAGCAGCCAAATGTTTGAATTTTCAAATTCCCAGAAGGCAAAGAGAAAACCAAAGAAATACAAGGTTTATTTAACAAAATAATATCTGAAAATTTCCCAAGTCTAGCAAGGGATTTAGACATCAAGATATAGAAACTCAGAAATGCCCATAGATATGATTAAAAAGGTGTTCTCCATTGCACATAACAGTCAAACTGTCACAAGTCACAGATAAAGAGAATTATGAAAACAGCAAGAGAAAACTGCCTAGTCACTTAACAAGGGAATTCCCATCAGACTAACAGTGTATTTGCCAGGAGAATGGGACGATATATACAAAGTGCCAAATGAAAAAAAAATGCCAGCAAAAGATATTATACCCATCAACATTATATTTCATAAATCAAAAAGAAATAAAATTATTTCCCAGGCAAGCAAAAGCGAGGAAATTCATCACCCCATACTGGTTCTACAAGAAATGCTTAAGGAAGTCATATACCTGGAATTTAAAGAACAATATCTGCCATCATGAAAACATACAAAAGTACAAAACCCATTGTTGCCCAGGGTAGAGTGCAGTGACATGATCATGGTTCATCACAGACTTGACCTCTTGGGCTCAGGTGATTTTTCCACCTTAGTCTCAAGAACAGCTGGGACTATAGGCATGTGCCCACTATGCCTGGCTAATTTTTTTTTAATTTTTTATGGAGATACGGTCTTGCTCTGTTGCTGAGGCTAGCCTCAAATTTGTGGGCTCAAGTGATCCTTCTGCCTTGGCCTCCCAAAGTGTGAATTTACAGGCATGAGCCACCACACCCATCCAAAAGAGCCATTTATAGCAATAGTCATCTATATCACAAAGTAGAAATAGTAACATAGCAATACACCTCAAGGAATTAGAGAAGCAAGAACAAACCACACTCAAAATTAGTAGGAGGAAAGAAAAAATAAAGATGAGAGCAAAGCTAGATGAAATTATGCAAATTTAAAAACCAATACAAAAGAATAACAAAACAAAATGGTGGGGTTTTTTTTAAGTTAAACAAAATTGATAAACCACTAGCTCGACAAAAAAGAAGACCCAAATAAACACAATCAGAAATGAAAAAGGAGACACTACACCAGATACCACAAAAATTAAAAAGATAACAAAAGAATATTATAAACAACTATACAGTTACAAACTAGAAAATCTAGAGGAAATGAATAAATTCCTGGACACATACAAGCTACCAAGACTGAATCAGGAAGGAATAGAAAACCTGAACAGACCAATAACAAGCATGTGACTAGATCAACATTAAAAAGAAAAGTCCAGGGCCAGATGACTTCACTCCCAAATTCTACCACACTTTCAAAAAAGAACTACCACCAATTCTCCCCAAACTATTCCAAAAGAATTCAAGAGGAGAGGATTCTCTCTAACTCATTATTAGTGCCAGCACTACTCTGATACCAAAATCAGACAAGAACAAGACAAAAAAAGAAAATTACAGGCCAACATCCCTAATGAACACAGACAAAATTCTCAGCACAATACTAGCACACCAAATCCTATAGTACATCAAGATGGTATTACACCATGATCATGTGAGATTTATCCCAAGGTTTATCCCAGGATGGTTCAACATACCTGAATCAATAACCGTAATGCATCACACCAATTGAATAAAGGGAAAAACACATATGCTCATCTTCATTGATGCAGAAAATGTATGTGATAAAATTCAACGTCACAT